TGGTACACATGGAACAATGTAATCAACGGAAAACGAGTTTCAAATATCAGAAACTATATATGCATGCAAATTTTGTCAACTGTCTAACCTTGAAACACACATAACACCGAGAGATCACAATATCCAGACAAAGTTTGTATTTGAAACCATACAACCCCATAAATACTTAAAAGGTTTAAATTACAAAAAGCTTGAAAATTAAACATGAGGAGTAGCCGAGCGAGGGAAAAGGAGATTAAGCGTCAACTCTTTGGAGCTGAGTGGCCCGGAGAGACTCGTCATCATTATCATAGTACATATAAGCAAAACCACCGTGACGTGTCATATCCATACCAGCCATCTCATCCTTCTCCGAGATCCTAAGTAGATTGAGCTTTTTGAGGATGAAGAAGAGTGTTCCCATGGTAACACTAACCCATCCTGCAACCACAAGTATTTGAACAAGTTGTGCTCCTAACAGCTTCCCTCCTCCGCCCATAAACAGTCCGTATGGCCTTCCAGGTGTCGCGCCGTAAACCTCGTTAATATACTTCTCCTTTGCAAACAGTCCCACGAATATAAGCCCCCACGCGCCGCATCCTCCATGTAGTTGCGCCGCCTCGAGGGGATCATCGTATTGTACAATCTCTGCGAGCTTGTTGCATCCTATGAGAACGAGGGCAGCTACGAAACCACAGACTATAGCAGCCCACGGTTCGACCACAGAGCAACCCCCTGTTATGGCCGCGAACCCACCAAGCAGCCCGTTGCATACGTCGGTTACGTTCCAATGGCCAGAGAGGAGGCGTTTTCCGAAGAGTGTGGTTAGAGCCGCGGTGGATCCAGCAAGAGTGGTTGTAACCGCTGTCCTGCCTATTCCGCTCCACTGGCCGTAGCTCGAGCCAGACTCATACGGAACGAGGATCTTGGCGAAGGAACCAGGGTTGAAACCATACCAACCGAACCAAAGGAGGAATGTCCCTAAGACAACGAGCGAAGCAGAGTGTCCACGTAGAGCAATAGACCGACCACTTTTCTCGAACCGGCCACGTCTAGGACCTTCGATAAGAGCACCCATTAATCCCGCTATACCACCAACCATGTGAACAACACCGGAGCCAGCAAAATCAATGGCTCCGGTGCCAAATAAACGGTCTCCCGCTGGACGGAAGGGACTGGCCCATCCGTCCGGGGACCAGAACCAATGAGAGACGACCGGATAAACAAATCCGGTTAAGAAAGAAGAGTATATCAAGTACGCCACAAACTGAGTCCTCTCAGCAATGGAACCACTTGTGATACCAGCTGCTGCTATCGCAAAGGCCCATTGGTAAAGGAAGAAAGAGTAATCTGAGGTGAGAGTTGGAAAGTCTTTAAGTGCAAAGTTATGTCTTCCAATGAATCCTTCAGAGGATCCACCAAAGGCAAAGGCGTAACCAAAAAGATAGTAAAAGAGTCCTCCCGCTGCAGCGTCAAGGACATTGGTGAGCATGATGTTCATGGTATTCTTGGCTCTAACGGAGCCAGCACAGAGCATGGCGAAGCCGAGCTGCATGGAGAAGACGAGGTAAGCAGAGAAGAGGAGGTAGGTGTTGTCTATGGCAAAGGCTGCATCGGTGAATTTGTTGTTAACGGTTCCTAACTGGCCGCAGATGTATTCCGCCGCTGCAGTAGCGTTGGGACCGAGCAGGGTGGAGAGGTCGGCAGCAGAGCAATTTAGAGCTCCTGACATGTTGACAGAGTTGAGAAAGAGAGAAACACGGAGAAGAAAGCCTTCTCTTGTGGTTCTTTAAAAAGGAGAGGAAGATGGGTTTATGGTTGACTTTTTTGATTCCGGCTTTCACGAATTAAATTAGGGAGACATATTATTAGAGTAATTATCCATTAATTATTAGATTATGGATAACATCTGCCTATGACAATTTTAACAACTTGCAATCGAAGATCCTAATCATATACGGTTTAGTGATTAGCATGTTGCTCTGAATATAAAAAACAAGGGAATGTGTATAAAATAAAATACCAAAGTATGTGATGGTTTTAGCAAAAAAAATGTATGTGATGAATAAAAACTTAATAAATCGATCGTAATAATTTTTTTGGTGAAAACGATAGTAATATTTAAAATCACAAAGCTGTTTTCTAGCTGTAACCAAGAGTCTTCGTTCAGATAAAAATGTAAATAAAAATCAAGGGTCTTCTACAAATTAAAAGGGTTTGGTTCTCTGATCATATACCATAACTTTGATACAAAAAAGAAAAGAATGGAGGATGGTTGAAGAGATAAATATATGATGCGTTCACGTGTAATATACGTAAGAAATATAGACCGTGATATACGTTAGAAATATTCACCAAGAAGATCTCTATCTTGGGACATGTTGGTACAAATCTTTTTAAAGCCAAACAAGAAGTCTAAAAGGACAACGCATTCATCCTTGGTGTGTACTCTGTAGTAGGGGGAACTTTCATTAAAACAAGTTGTGTCAACTAGGAACTAGCAAACCAATAATATGAGTAGATTCACATTTTTGCTCTTTTGGAGTTAATGAATTTCCCCATGAGATTTTGTAATGCTGGAGCTATTCTGCACGTCATTTTAAAATAAACTGCAAGAATATTATCATCCACCTTATACCATACTGAATCACACAATGATGGTGACGCACAATCTACACAAAACAAGAAATAAATTAGGGTTAATAGTTATTCGGTTTTAACCTAGATCAAACGAATTCATCGTTGTCTATATCGATTTAATATAATTTTTCTTGTAATCAATTAAATATCTCTAATAAACTTTTTCAAATAAACTACTAGACTTCAATAACTTTTAGAAACAGCAATGGTTGCGACTTTTTTCATAAGACTTCAATAACTTTTAAAAAGGGCAATGGTTGTGATTCATTCATTCTATCGCAGACCATATGGGACTTTCTCATACCGAAAGTTGATATTTCTCTTGGTTGTGATCGAGCACCATACTTGTTGATATGATGATAACCAGCTTCTTAACTGCGTTTGGTATAGACATCCCCATAAGAAGCACATCAAAACTGTTTGTCTTTGTATTGCTTGCGGACCTTTAAGGATCCCCTGTATTCTGACCATTGAAAACTATTTCTTCCAGCTAAAGTCTACACAAGGTAGAAAAGTCCATAATTCGAATATTCTTGACAAAATTTCTAAAATTTTTGTTTCGAAGTTCAACGTATATACATTATTTTGTATTATATTATATGTATACAATATAATAAAACTTACGGTAATGTTATTTTAAGGGTTTCATCCGTATTTAATATGTTTCTTTCTACAACCACCCATTCTATTGTAATAATTATTGTACAGTATAATTGAAAGTTTCGCATTTTTGTATCATTGATAGGTACGTTTGATACGAAAAATATATATGTTTGATATGAAAGAAAACAGATTCATTAACTAAGATAATAAGAACATTTCAGAAGGATCTGTATTTGGTTGTTTTATTGCAGTTTAGTTTCTCAGACCAATTCAATTTTAAATAATAGATCAACCTTTTTATGTAGCTTTCAAAAAAAAAAAATCAACCTTTTTATGTTGATTTTTTTTAAATATGGTCAGATAATTTTTGATGTATTAGGGAACAGCTCATGTAATCGCATCTACTATCGTGATCAATTATTATACAACGTGACTGAATCTAAAAGGAGAACTTGATTTGTTTCTGTTGCTTAGATGTCTAGTTTAAGAAAATTTGAAAATATAAGATTGTTGAATTAATAATGATTAATAAAAGTGTTGCTAAATTTTAAGGCGCTAAAACTAATCGGCCCATTGCTTCTGTATAAGAATTTGTATTTTTGGTCTTTTCACATATTAAATGAGTACAGTATGATTGATAAAAGCCCACTTAGCCTTAATAGTAAACCATAAACCTATAACGCTTACAAAGGGACTTGTAGAATGTAATAATGACATATGTCCATATCTCTTCTAATATTAGCCTATTAACACTGTTGTTCTCATTAAGAAGATTTTTCTCCACTTTTTTTTTTTTTGAACACCAAATACTTATATTAGAATCAAAGACCCAATGGGCAAAGTTGGATACAACCGGAGAGAACCTCAACGGTGAACTGATAAGCGAAAAAAACTAAAACATAAAGAGGGATAGGAGTGGCTAAGGAGAGAAGAGACCCGTAGAGAAGCTTCACTTGTAGTCCTAAACCCGCGTTCTTAAAACGACGTTGAAAAGCCCAAATAGTGGGTTTTGAGAGCGAGGTGTCAGATAACCTGCGTAGAAGATAGTAGCTCCGGTGAGAGGGTCGTCGGGGCAACTCTGTGAAGAACCGTCGATGTTTGAGACGGCATAATGTGCTGGAATCGCAATGGAGACATAGTATCGAGTATAACTGGCGACTCTACACTCTTGCACATAAGTTCCTGCAGCGAGGGAAGGGGTAGAAAAATCGTAGAGCTGACTCTGTAAAGAACCGTCGATGCTTGAGACGGCGTACTGTGATGGAGACGCGACGGTAACGTAATAGTGAGAAGAACTGACGTATCCACACTCTTGTACAGTAGTAGCAGCGACGAAGAAAGGATCATAGGATCGATTCTGTGAAGAACCGTCGATGCTTGAGACGGCGTAATGTGTTGGAAGCGCATCGGTGACATAGTAACAATCCAAATTGGTGCTTCCACACTCTTGAACAGAATATCTTGTAATGGGGAGAAGAGATGTCATGGAGAAGTCGCGGCAGAATGCTAGATCAAAGTCGAAATTGAAACCAAACTTTTGAAGGGTCGTTGCTTTAATCGAAAGCTTCACAAAGGAAGTTCCTGCAAAACCAAGTCTCAAAATATGGTCTAAGCCCTGTAGCTTCTCAGGTAGACATGACGTGGAGGAGGTGGCGTATGATGAAGTGGTCTCGAAGGCGTAGAGGTGCTGAGTACAGATGATGGCGTAGAGGTGCTGAGTACAGATGATGGCGTTGTGAGCTCTCTGCCTTACTGATGAAGAACACTCAAAATGGAGGATGACGGGTCCGGGAGCAGCGATAGAGGTGAGGGGTCCAAATGCTGAAGAAAGAGCTTCGCAAAGTGTGATCGGTGAAGCACAAAACTCAATAGAACAACCGTAGGGGGGTCGCAGAGTAGGAGGATGTGAAGCAGCAACGGTGAGACAAGTAGATCTCTGGATTCCACACTCGGGCTGAGTAGATCCATGCTTACTCGTGCTAAGTGAAGGAGGAGCGACGGCGAGAAGAGCGGACGGAGCTACGGTGACATATCCAGCGGAGGTAGCGACGATGGCGGAGCGAATAGAGGTGGTAGTGGTGACGAAACGAGTATATGTAGTGACGATGGTGATGCGGCGGACTAAAGGAGTAGTGAATAGATCTGACCCGTGGAGCACATAAGCTAGGAGGTGAGAACCTCCAGCATTTAGTCTCACACCAACAGAAGTCATGACGACGGAGGAGGGACTAGAGGAGGCGACGACGGAGGAGGTGGTGGCGGAAGAGAACAGAGAGGAGGTGACAAAGAGTGGTTGTGGGGAAGCAGCATTAGACCTGGAGAGGGTAGAACTCGAAGGTCCATCCTCCAACATCGTAGATCTAGCAATGGCGTTTTCTATGCTGAGAGAAGTTGCGACGAGGTTGGTGTGGTAGCTGGTGACGACGAGGGGAGTACAGGAGGAAGCTACTGTGAACGGAGTAGTGGGGTTGACTTTGTTGATTTGAGTGGAAGTGCTACCAGAGACACAGATCCAGGCGAGCAAGACTAGAAGCAAAGGGAAAACAGAGAGAGAGCGGACGGACAGGCAGGAAGCGGAGCTGGTTTCCCGACGCCGGCGGCCAAAGGCCTTACCGGCGTCAAGAAGCATTGACGGCGGCGTTGTCTCGATAGCTGAACCAGAGAGAAATTAGGGCTTTCGTTTTTAGATTTTTCTCCACTAAAAATTGCAAGTAACAATACTTTTATTTGATCAACTTCCATACTACATGACTCGTTAACTTGGCTTTGCCGAAATTATAACCTTCTTATAACATCACACACAATTGATAACAAAACTACTAATAATAAACCCAAAATCAGAAAAGATAAACACAAAACAAAACCAAACTCAAACGTGACCGAACTTGTCAGTCAAGTTTTATTTTTATTTTGTTTCCGGCAGGTAAGACACTTTGAAGGTCAAGTTAACAGAAGGGAATGGCCAAGTTCTGGAAACAGTGCTTCCTTGGGACGCAAGCACCACCACTAATGCTTCCTTGTCCTTCCAAATCCAGATTCCATAAACCATCCCAAATCGCGTATTCTTCATGTACATTAGCCTGAGGTTGTGGCACCGTAACCACTGGGTAAAACCCATTATTACCATTTGAGTCATAACCAGAACTTGTTGTTAAATGTGTGATCTGATGCGGAACATAGAACGCACCATCTTCACCGCTACTACCGCTACTACTGCTACTGAAGTTATTATCACCACTGTTGTTGTTGTCTTCTTCTAGTAAAGACATGATCCTTTTCATATCGATTTGGTTTAAATGAAGCAATTGCTGTTCTTGCTGCAACTCCAACTGTCTTTGCTGCTGAAACTGTTGCCTCTTCAAGATTCTGTTTTTCGTCTTCTCCGAATTATTAGTTGGAGATTTTGTCTTCTTCTTGAAATGGGTTCTCCAATAGTTCTTGATCTCGTTATCTGTTCTTCCCGGTAAACTACGAGCGATTGTTGACCACCTGAAATTAAAATTAATCAGACAATGAACCATCGGAAAAAAGGACACTAGCTACTTATTTGAGTAAGGCTACACACATAGATGCTTGTGTAATAATTTATGTTCTGTAGTCCTTTGTAGTAATATAAATATAATAATTCAATAAAATTTAGTCGAAAAAAGAGTAAAGGCTACACACATAATGATAATAATTAAATGCAAATATAAAACAAAGAAGTAAAGCTTAAATTAATTACCTGTTTCCCCACTTAGCATGTAACTCAAGGATAATTTTTTCTTCATGAGGAGTGATTTGTCCTCTCTTGAGGTCTGGTCTCAAGTAATTAACCCATCTTAACCTACAACTTTTACCATTTCTCTTCAACCCTGCGAGCCTCGCCACAGAGTTCCACCGGCCTTCACCGTGAAGCCGCACATAATCGATCAAAAGACGGTCTTCTTCGGCAGTCCAAGGCCCTTTTCTCCAACCTTCTTCAACCATTCCCCATCCTGCTCCCATCACTCCCCACACACTCATCCTTTCTTTTTATTTTTTCCTTTTAAGTAAAAGCTAAAAAAGAGAAGTAGTGTCTTAGATCTCTTTAGGTCTCTCTATCTTATGAAACCAAAGTGTTCTTGTGTTTTAGCTTTGCTTTATGTTGTGTGTTGTTTTCTCTCTGCCCATTTCAGTATTTATATACGCACGCACTAACTCTAACGCCTTGGCTCCCCCACCTATTTTGTTTGTTTTCTATAGATATAACTAGTGACGAGAGAAAGATCTTTTTACATTTTTAGAGTAATGTTCTTTCTAGAATCAAAATTATAAGGTTATATCTCAATAAAAGCAAGATTCTATGGAAGTTACAATATATATACTTTTCAATCTTATATTACAAAATAGCTCTAGAAATTCTTAATTAGTAATAAGAATAACTAATCTATTCAGTAAAGTTATCCAAAAATAAAAAGGAACTGTAATAATTGTAGGCATAGAAGGAAAAAAGGAATATTATTAGAAAGAAAGGGTTAGCACTTACAAGTTACAACTAAGTAGAACTTGGGTGCTCTCTTTGCCTTTTTTCACTGGTCGTTTTCATAAGACTCGTATATATCCTTTCGTCTGTCCATTCAAGTCTTCATTTCCCAATTTCAAAGATATTCATCATCCAAGAGTTACTAAACTGCCCTTTTTTGTTGGTACATTGTTTTTGGTTCAAATAGGATATAATCTAATCCGAACACGTTGACAAAAAAAAAAAAAACTAATCTGAACCAAACCAAAGCTGAGACAAACGCTAATCCAGAAAATTAATCAAATGAAAGCTAGATCACAGATCGGATTGTTAACCCTACTTTAGTGGTTTAGATGTTATACTTAGTCACCAAATTTCATCATTTTTGTGACACCTAATTAACAAGGATATTACTGGGCTATTAATTTAAAGAGTTTCAGTATTCATGCAGGATTAAAGATATAATGTTTAGGCATAAGGTAACATGGTCTAACCGAGCATCAAATCCAATAGAATAATCCTTATATGCTAAAGTTATTTGGAACTTATATCACGTCGCCACGTATATATGATTTAGGAGTTAATGCAAAGATATTATTATAAGTATTGTAATTACTTAACTTCCGTAATTAATATTTTCCTTAAAAGCACAATTAAAGTAAAAGAAAAATGATGGTGCTTGATTATTTTAAGATGATACACATAATTGAACCACTAAGGCTTCTCCAAGTGTCGAGGATATTTATACATGCGATCTTACACTAATCTTAGTTGTTTGTCTTATAATACTTCGTTGGATTCCACATAGGAATTACGGTAATATTTTATAGAAATAAACTAAATAATTATAAGAGTTTATGGTCTTTGTGCGTCACCATGAGACAGGTGGTCTTATAATTCTGTCTCTTAGATATTTGTAAGATTGTAAGTACTTTCTCTTCTTACTTTCTTCTGATCATTTTAAAAATCAATGCCTAGTGTTTCCATCTTCTCCAAGAAATATCTACCAAAATAATACTAATAAGCATGTGGTTGGATACAACAGTTGGTTTCAATTCCATCTGTGCATCTTTCAAACTAACTTAAAACCAAAACTACCGAATGGTTTGCTGTTTCTGAAATACAGTTAGCATTAAGCTTATGTGTATATATTCTGGATATTATTTTATCAATTTGTAACAGGACTGTTGATTTTGATTGTTCTAGTCCACGGCAAAACAAGAGTCTTGGTGTACTATACGGTGAAGGAAAAATTTAAATACGACTGTCAAATATTTTGTATTTTTGTTTGTTAATACGATAAGAAACATAGTAGCTAGAGGAAGGAGCAAACAAGGTCGTCGTGGCCGAGAAACCTCATTCAATAGTTAATCTTTTTCTATCACTACAAGAAAACACCGCAATTCTGACGACCGTTCCGAGGGAAAATGTATTCCTCGGAAATTTCCGAGGACATTCCGAGGAAATTCCGAGGAAACACAAATTTAAGGTTTCCTCGGAATTTCCTCGGAATATACCGATGGAATTCCGAGGAAACCCGGTTCCTCGGAAAAAACTGACGAAATTCCGAGGAAATTCCGGGAAAATTCTGAGGAAACCCAAATTTCGGATTTCGTCGGAATTTCCACGGAATATCCCGACGGAATTCCGAGAAAATCCGTTTCCTCGGAAAAACCCGACGAAAATCCGAGGATTTATTATAGCCGTTGGGGGATTTTAAAAATTCCGAGGAAATTCCGAGGAACTAGCCGTTTCCGTCGGAATTTCCTCAGAATTGTCGGCAGATTTCATCTATAAATACAAGCACCCTCATCCTCTTCATTCACTCCATATCTTAATCCTCTCACATACTATTTTACACACGAATCTGACTGAAAAAAACATGTCTTCTTCTAATTATTTTCGTTCTTGGATTGATCGACCTCATTTGGATCCTAACACGAGATTGCTAACGGAAGAGTACCAAAGAGGTTTAGGCGAATTCATGGCGTTAGTTCAACGACAACCGGAAGCGAAAACGGGTATGTTAAGGTGTCCTTGCTCTACTTGTAAATATAAAAAGGTTATAAAAGAGTTAGATGTTTGGACTCATCTATATTTGAGAGGGTTTACACGAAGTTACAAAGTTTGGTATCATCATGGAGAAACTGGTTATGAATATGGTAGTACTAGCGAACCTCAGCCTGCGGTTAGGTTAGAAGAACAGATTAGAACGGATGTAGATTATGGTGTAGGTACTGAGCAGATGGTAAATGATCATTTTAGAGGGGAAGATTTACCCAATGCAGAAGCTAGGAGATTTTTTGATATGTTGGATGCAGGAAAGCAACCTTTGTACGAAGGTTGCAGAGATGGTCATTCAACTTTATCATCTGCAACAAGACTAATGGGCATTAAAACAGATTATAATTTGGCTGAAGACTGTATGGATGCGATTGCTAATTTTGTAAAAGGTATTCTACCTGAGGATAATGTAGCCCCTGGTTCATACTACGAGGTTCAGAAACTGGTAGCTGGTCTTGGTTTATCGTATCAAGTAATAGATGTATGCAGCGATAACTGCATGATTTATTGGAGGGCGGATG